CCCAATAAACACACATTTGATTGCATAGGGTTCTAGTTTATTTCAATGCGAGGAGTGAACGTGTACAAATGCAGTGTTGCCGAACACTTTTAGTGGTAAGTTTGAAGAAAGTTGAGAAGTTGGAAAGTATTTTTGGAATCTTTGGTTGAAGGAGGGAGTTCGACGTTCGACTTGGCAGTCGGTTGATGAGATATGTATATATCAGAATGACATCTCCCCAGAATGTTTTTGGCATATTTGTAGTGAACGTCAAAGCATGAACAACCTCTAGTATGTGTCTATTTTCCATTCAACAATTCCATTTTGTAAGGGGTATTAACACATGAAATTTGGTGAACTATCCCATTTTTTTAGATAGTCTTGTAAAGTGGTAATGAAGTATTCTATGCCATTGTTAGTTTGAAAAATTTGGAGTTGTGTTTCAAATTGTGTCTGAATCATGGAGTGGAAATTTATAAAATTGATCGAACCTCCATTTTTTTCTTTAGTAGATAGACCTAGCATACCTAAGTGTGGTTGTCGATAAATGTGACAAGCCACTTTGTTTGGGTACGATTAGGATCGCGAGAAGGTCCCCATAGATCACTGTGAATTAAGGAAAATGATTTAGATGGTTTATACGTGGATTTTAGAAATGATGTACGTTGATGCTTTGCAAATTCACAACTTTCATATTGAAAGTCAATAGATTTTTTATTCAGGAAGATTGAAGGAAAGATATTATAAGCTAGGCCCATTTTATTGTGCCAAACAAAATTTCACTATCCCTAGGAGTAAATGCAGAATTACAACTTGAGAGTTGACTTAGTTTACTCACATCAGCTTCCTCAAAATAGTATAATCCTTCACATTCTTTAGCACCGTCAATTGTCTCTCAATGAAAAGTCGTGAAAGATACAACATGATGGAAGAAAGTTAGCAGAGCAATTAAAGTTTTTTGTCAGTTGACTAATAAATAGCAAGTCACAAGACAAATTTGATACATAAATTACAGGATCTAGTGTTATGGCCTCAAAGATGCGAATACTCCCTTGTCCCGCAACAGGTGAAATTGAGCCATTTGCAATTTTGACTCTAATATTCCCAGGATAAGTTGAGTATGAAGAAAATAGATGATACGTATCCGTCATGTGATCAGATGCACCGGAGTCTATGATCCACACATTTTTATATCATGAAGTATTTAAGGCTCTAAGAAAGTTATGGGCTAATGAACTCTACCTTTAGGGGATGGTTGACCAGATGTTTGGAAGCTTGAGAATAGTTGATAAATTTGTTCTAGCTGTTCTAAATTGAATGCACCACTTGAAGTTGGGTTACTTTTAGTTTCTGCTGGATACCCTCGGCTCCTCATGTTTTGCTTTGGTTTCCAGTTGTTGGGCTTCCCATTAATTTCTCAACATGTGTGTATTTTATGACCCAGCCTACGACAATGCTCCCACCAGAGCTTTCCCGTTGTTTTTGGGTTGGCCCATTTATACCTCCTTTTGAAACGCCCAAAGCTCCACTTCCAATTGAAGCCCCATTAGTATTTTCAGTTTATGGCCCACGTGTTGGCCTATTAAACTTACCTTGTCCAAGAAGCCCATGTTCTGAAGAGTTCAACGGTCCATTCTTCTTCCTTGCCAAGGTCGACACTTCTCTTCCAGTGACTTTTTTTAACATCACATGTTGGCAAGCTTCTTCCTGGCGCACTTTCGCGAACACCTCATGGGTAGATGGTTGTGGGCTTTGCCCTAATATCCGGCCTCTGACCTCGTCCAACTCTTGATTCAGGCATGCGAGAAATTCACACTCTTTTTCCTGCTTCTTCTTGTACAAGGCGACATCTTCAGGGCACTTCCCCTCCTCTTCACTGCTTAGGTCAAGGTCCTACCTCAAAGAAGTCATCTCTATGAAATGCTCAGCGACGTCTCTTGTCCCCTATTTGGTATGCCATAAACGAGTCTTGAGCTCGAAAATTTGTGCAGCATTACCGACGTCTGAATAAGTCTCATTTACGGCATCCCAGACACCTTTCGTTGTTGGAAGGAAGAGATAGGCTTTCCCTATCGACGACTTTATGGAGTTTACAAGCCAAGCGATTACCATGAAATTTTCAAATGTCCATCGTTGTAGTTGGGTACGATTAGCCGGCTTCTTTGTCTCATCGATAAGATATCCTAGCTTTCCCCTTTCCTTAATTATTAATTTAATTGATTGAGCCCATTTTCGAAAGTTTTTTCTATTCAATTTCTCAACGGTAAGTTGGAACGATGAACTTTCGAACGCATTGGAACCAATTGAGGAGTGAACCTCTGCTTCAATGTCGGAGATGATTGACCCGGTATTGTTGGCGGGGAATTCAGCCATAGATTACTAGGTTAGAGTAATCTGGCTCTGAGACCATGAAAAGATTACAAAAATGAGAGAATAATTTTTCTTCTCAATAAATTTAGCGATCCTTCTTATATACATACGCAGAGGAGGAGGAAAAGAAAACTAATCACCTAAACTAGGAAACAAATTAGTCTACCGAATAACCAAAAAGAATATAATCCCTAATTAATTACAATTAATATAACTGGTTTTTTTCTTCTTTTTTCTTCTTTTTTTTCCCCATTTCTCAATGATTTTCTATAAGTTGTATATGATATTTATTGAATTTTTTTTTATTTATCTATTCAATAGAAAAACTTGTATGCTCACATCTCTAATGTACGAACTCTTTGAAATGGTTGGAATACTCGTGTCGGACATGACACGACATGGGTACGGGATTAAATATGTGTCGGATCCTCGAAGTTTCAACTGGACACTTCGCCTTTTTGCTTCCCCTTTCTTTTTTCTTTCCCTTTCCTACTTTTTTCTTCTTTCCCTCTCTGTATCGGTGATTTAGGGTTTTGTTTGTATGAAATGAAAATGGGTTCCATATAGGGATCCTTAGTGCTCCACTAAGTCCAAATTGCAATCAATCTCCTCACTTTCTATTTTATATAACATTTAATAATTAATTTTTCATAATTGAACACTAAACCTCAAAATTTTGTTTTATTCATTTTAACTTATTATTCAATAATCATTTCATTTTTTCTGAATAATTGATTTTAGTCTATTTAAAATATCTTGAGTTAGTAAAAAATTAAAATGTGAAAGACGTACCCATGTACTTGTATCCGAAATTTGGGCTCTTTTTAGTCATGTCCATGTATCCTATATTTTAGAAAATAAAAGATTCAACATTTGGATACTTACCCATACGCAATACTCGTATCCGAGTCGGAGCATCATGGGCTCACATCAGGGATTGAGTATCTATCATGCAATAAAAATAGTTTCAGAAGTACCATGCTTCACTGCTCTCAATTCTTGTAAGTTGTAAGGAAAATGTGATTCATTTGTCATTCAAGAGAGAACTGATGCAATGACGTAGGCTTCTTTTTTTGCAGATTGACAATAGAGCTACATTTTTTTTTTTAAATTTCTTTCGAGGAAAATAGGATGAATTGGAGGTTTTGTTTATGTCCCTTGTTAAGGAAGTAAATTAATCAAGAACCACATAGATTAGACAAGAGAGTAATTGTATTTATTGTGTTTTCATGTGTGTACTCTTACCTTTTCTTTATAATGAAAGTAGAGGAGAGAAAGATAATCATCTTCTTTTTTTCAATGTTTATACCAACCTTTGTCTCAATATGGTATCAAAGGAAAGCTTATGTTACTACTTTGGTACAAAAACACTGGAAATCTATAATGTAAAACAGGAAAATGAAGGCAACAATGAATCATTGGTGATATAGTAACTAATAGGATGTTTAGTTACACAAGTACATTTACGTTTGCGAAGGGCAATGGCAACAACTCAAGATCAGAAGAGATGGTGGATGCAATATCTTTAGATCGTAAGGTGATGCATGGGGACGCAAGAGTTGGTGGCTTAGATCGTCGAGTATAAACTTGTAAAGGAGGTGATGGTTTTTATGAAAGAGGTGACAACTCTGGTGCAGTAGATGGAGACAAGTCTGGTTTTGGAGGTAGAGGAATGCCAATTAGGTGATATGGAAGGGGTAAGCTAATGGGATCCGAGTACATTCGAGAGACGTACCATGATCAGAAAAATAGGACGTGGACTTGTCGAAGGTGATATTTGCACTTCTGTATGTAAGTAGCGTTGTAGAGTAGAGGATGAAAACAAAAAAGATAAGGGAAATGCACCTTCAAAAAACAGAGGATGGCATGCAATTAATGAAATAGTATGCAGTGAAGACATCCTCACTCCAAAAATATTTAGTGATATGCACATGATAAAGAAGAGCACGATTAAACTCTAACAAATGATGATTTTTGCATTTGGCAACTCCATTTTGTTGTGGAGCATATGCATAAAATGTTTGATGAGTAATGTTTTTGAAAGAGAGAGAGGATGCGAAGGAAGTCGACATATATTCTTTGACATTATTAGATTGTAAACTACAGATTTTCTGGTTAAACTGAGTTTTGAACAATGTACGGAAGATTCGAAAGATAGTAACCTAGAAGAATAACAAGTCATACGAGAACAATTATTCATGGCAGTAAAAAAATACTGAAATTTAGTAGAGAAAATATTGATTGGTTCTCAAACATCATAATGAACTAGTTCATGCACACGAGAAACACAGCTAACAGTTCTAAAAGGAAAAGACACATGGTCATAGTTGCCAAGCTCAAGCACATTGAAGATGATTGTCATTTCATTCGAGACAAGATAGCGAGTGGTGACTTATAAAAATATTTTCTTAATGTTTTCCAGGAAAATAATATGAATTATGAACTGTAGAAATTTTTATTCTTAAACTTCAAGTTTTATTTATATTCCCGCAATTATTCTCATTTTGGCTTCTAAGAGTGATCATTTTATATATTCTAGTTATTTATTGTGTCCGATATATTATTTGAAAGTATATAATAATTCTCTCTCTCTATGTACACGCCATAAATGTTCTTGAAATTTTGGTATTTGGCCTCTGTCTGTTTTCCAGGTGGAATGTGAATTAGTTAAGATTGATATCAATTGCCATATCCAAGGTGATGTCGTACTGGAGTGTATCAGCTTGCATGATGACATGGAGCGAGAAGAGATGATGTTTCGTGTCATGTTTAACACAGCTTTTATTAGGTCAAATATCTTAATACTCAACGGGGATGAAATTGACATATTGTGGGATGCAAAGCATCAATTTCCCAAGGACTTCAGAGCAGAGGTATGTTTCTCTACAACTGTTTAGAAGTGCCAAATTTTTAGTTCTTTTTCTTAACAGTGAATTAGCCTTATTCATGCATATTATTGTTTGGATGAAGGTTCTTTTCTCGGAAATGGATGCTGTTGCTTCTATAGTTCCTGTAGATTTTTCCTGCTTTGAAGATAAAGATGGACTTCCAGTTGAGGCATTTTCTAAGGTTCACGAAATCTTTAGCAATGTGGATTGGTTAGTCCCAAAGGGGGATGCTGCAGTTGACGTGCTCCAACATCTAACTGCATCAAATATTGTCCTCGAAAAGATGGGAACTTACGCTCATGTTGAAAAAGCTCAGAGTAAATGTTCTGCTGCATTAGAATCTAGTTCTATTAGCCCAAGATCTTTTGTGTTAGAGAAGCCGTCCAGTTCTCCAAAATCGTCCGTAAATGCAGACGAGGGTAAAAAGCAGGCTGAGGACCAGAATCTAATTACTGAAAGTGGGGCAACAATATCACCAAGGACTACACCTATTCCTCCCACAGAACATTCATTTTCCATAAGGCCTGTGGAATCAAGTGCTTCTCCATCCTTGTCAGCGACACCAACTTATCATCTTTCAACGGGAGTAACTCTACATTGTTCGGTCACTAAACAGTCCGACACCAATGCACAAGAAAGTGGGATGGCTAAAGTGGTTTCACCACTCCCTGTAACTGAGGCTTTGTCTCCGAAGACAGTTTCTTTAACTCCTACTCCACTTCGACCTCCTAAAGATGCTGGTGTTGATCCTGGACAGCCTTCATCATCTCTATTATCACTGCCTCCTCTTACTCCCCCATTGAAAGATAAGATAGGCATGGTAGCTTCTCCTCCTAAAATGCCAAATGCTTCAACTCTGCCTTTGAAGGAAGATATGTCTCGGCCTGGCTTATTGATGTCTCTTCCCTTAGCAAGTGTTCCTTTAAGCCCGAAGAGGCATGATAAAGCAACTGCAGACCGTCCTCCTCCATCTCCACATTCTTCTCCTCCTCCTTCCACTACCTCTCCAACCGAAGGTGCAGTTAAAGCCACTAGAGTTGGTCGTCCTCCATCACCTCCACTTCCTCCAGCCAATACTCCCTCAGAAACAGATGTGATTATAAATACTGTTGGTCCTCCAGCTTCAGATCCAATTCCAACCCCACCTCCACCTCCACCTCCACCTCCACCTCCTCTCTGGACAATATTGACGTCAACAGCAGATGCTGTTAGATGTACTAGAGTTGGACCTCCTCCACCACCTGCTCCCCATTTCGCTTCTCCCATAATAGAAGATGTATCTGTTAAAAGTGCAAGTCCCGCTCCTCCTCAATCAAATATATACCCATCTTCTCCTCCTATCCCTCCAAAGGATAATTTAGCTTTTGTAGGTGGCCCTGGTCCGTGGTCCCCTCCTCCACCCCCAACCCCACCTATAGTAGAAAATGCAGCTACCAGAGCGGCACATTCACCTCCTCCACCTCCTCCAATGCCTTATAAGGAAAGTTCCTCTATTAGTGTAGGGCCCCCTCCACGGCCTCCAATGGCTCCTAAGGAGAGTTCCTCTATTAGAAGAGGCCCCCTGCCTCCTCCACCTCCTCCTCTGCATTCTGGGCCAGGTGCAAAGGCGACAAGTTCATCATCAATGTCTCCACCACCCCCTCCTCCTGCCCCGGCATCTTTAGCACCACATTCTGTACCTTCGGCACCATCTCCTCCCGTCGCTCCGAATAAAGAGGCTACTAATTTGTCAAATTCTTCTTCAACTAGTAATAGTAGAGGTACTAATTTTTCTGGGTCTCCATCTCCTCCACCACCTTCTATTCCTCCCCCTGGCACGAAAGGAAGAAATTCGTTGGGACGGACTGTAACTTCAAGGAACAGTCAGACAAAGAAACTGAAGCCATTACATTGGTTAAAATTAACGAGAGCAGTTCAAGGAAGCTTGTGGGCAGAGGCTCAAAAATCTGGCGAAGCTTCAAAGTATGTTATGCTTAATAAATAAGACTGGAAAGTTTTATCCACTAAACAACCTTCCTTTCTGGGTATAACTTGGATGTTTCCATTATAAATGTTGCTTTTATTCTTTTACATTTTGTTCTTTGTGTTCAACAGGCCACCAGAGATTGATTTTTCAGAGCTTGAATCTCTCTTCTCAGCTGCAGTTCCAAATTCCGATCAAGGAGGCTCAGGAAGAAAAGGAGGTTCACGAGCTACACTGGGACAGAAATCTGAAAAAGTGCAACTGGTGAGCTATATTCTTCCTGTTTTTATCTGTGCGGTATGTGTATTATTAGTCCTAAAATAAACAAACAAATACAAAGACATTATTTGATTATACTGTTAACGAGTTTTAACATTCTGGCTCATTGATTAAAAAAACCTTTATTGGATGAGATTGCACGTGCAAGTTGTTAAATGGTCCATGTTTGAGGAATAATTTTTAGCATCGTTACCTGAAAATTGTTTTTTTCCTTCTCAGTATTCATTGTCTATGTGTGTTTCTTTTGTTACAATGTGTTTCTTGATCAGTCAACCTAATAACATCCAGTTGTCTTATTTTCTAATCACTCAATACGACTGTTGAATGATTAACTTACCACATAGTCCCTCTCTTTGGGCTTCGGGTGTGAGTTTCGTCCTCTATCCCTTTTCTACTTGTTGACAGAAAAGAAAGAGGATTGATTTTTATGGTTACTGATGGTGAAATTTAAACATTGTTTCTCTCTCCTGCAGATAGATCATAGGCGTGCTTACAATTGTGAAATTATGCTTTCGAAAGTAAAGATACCATTGCATGACTTGATGGTGAGCTAAATTTTATACGTCTATTTGCACTTATTTTTGAGCCTGAATTTGCCTAAATATTTTGTCAAGCTGTAAATCTTCTTACACAAGTCATTCTCCAACATCGTTCATCGTAGAGATCATAAATGACTAGAATTTGTTTTTCAATTGGAAATGGTGCATATTGTGGCTGTTTCGGTAGTGCTGTCAGCCTCGAACGTGAGTTGTAATGCCTGAGTCGCAACATCAAGGTCCGACCCAAATTGAGCAAGGGTGGCCACTTCGCGATATTGTGCCAATTACTACCGCATACTTGTTTCATAGCTTTTAACCATGCTGTCTACTTTCCTATGTACAAAATTATGGAACTTGCTGGGTCTCGTTGGTCATAAATCTTGACAATTTCTTGTATGCCTTTATACACGGCTTCGTTTCCATTTGTGTAGTGTTTAATTGCAATTTTATTATTCCGTCTGCATATAGATCTTGTTTGGTATAGCTTAAAAGCCAATTAAAATCAATTTTTTTAACCGTTATTTCACTATTTCAATTGTTATTTTTGAATTCTTCTTTCACAGGTAAGACCCACTTTATCTCTAACCATCAAAAGATCAATTATCAAAATTCCTACCAAATAAGCACATAATCTTCTCAGCAGTAGGTTTGGGTTCTAGTTCTTTATGCAATACAATCTTATGTACTGTTTCAGAATTCAGTGCTTGCGTTGGAAGACACAGCATTAGATGTTGATCAGGTCGATAATCTCATCAAGTTTTGTCCAACGAAAGAGGAAATGGAACTTCTTAAGGTGAGACAAGCCTAAATTAATTTGCTTGATTTTTATAGTGCTCTCAGAAGCATCCATGTTCATTTATGCCTTAGTTGGTAGACACATTTATGCCTTAGTTGGTAGACACGCCATACAGGGTATAATACAAATTTCCCTGCTTTCTTTGTGTCATATTTTAACTGGTCATTCCTGCTTTCAGGGTTATAAAGGAGAGAAGGATAAGTTAGGAAAATGTGAACAGGTTTGTAGTGTATGGTTTCTGATTTGTTCATTTAGTATGCTGGTGTCTGTTTTGTCAGGTGATTCAATTGTGTGTACAACTTACATTACAAGATTAAAAATTTGTTTGTTGTTCTTTTTATGAAGTTCAGTTCTTCTTGGAGTTGATGCAAGTACCACGAATAGAATCAAAACTGAGAGTTTTCTCATTTAAGATTCAGTTTCGCTCGCAGGTCAGAATAACAGTATAAGTTGCCTACTTGCCACATTTTCAGATTTTGTTTTAACGTATACTTCTCCCTGTTTTTTTCCCTCTCAGGTTTCTGACCTAAGGAGTAGTCTGAATGTTGTAAATTCAGCTGCTGACCAGGCAAATAAATTTATCATTAATGTCTTACTATTTTAGATGATCAAATACAAGTCCTTTCTTATTTATATTAGCTATTGCGGTATCCTCAGATCAGGGGTTCTGCTAAATTGAAAAGAATCATGCAAACAATTCTCTCTCTGGGTAATGCTTTGAACCAGGGAACTGCGAGAGGTAAGTTAACCTTCTTGTTCATCTACTATCGTGGTATCTTCTTTGGTTTCCATGTTCCAGTTTTCCAATACATTTTGCTGAGTTTTTTCCTTTGCCTCTTGACATAATCTCCAAGTATATGATAAACAAGCGAAAATGTGAAATGAATAATCTTGTATGGAAGTTGGTAACACAAGGACAATCTACACATCCGTACAGTTAGAACTTGATTATTATTATTATTACTACTACTAGAATTTTAATATTATTTTACTATTAATATAATATGGCTGCTGTTATCATTGATGATGTCGTTATTTTTGTTGCTACTGTATTTTATTACAGTTATTGTTATTGTTATGGTGTTGGTGCTTTTGAGTATATACTTGAAATGGCCTCTGGATATTCATTATCTTATGTAACCCTGAGCTAAAATTTGTAAGACGAAATAACCTATAAATAGTATTTTCAATGTTATCTTGGTTATGGTTGAATTCTCAATTTTTGCAATTAGAGGATTGAAGAAACAATCGTAGCTACAAGTTGGTTCACCTAGTTTGTCAGAATTGATAGTATCGTCAGCCTTGTTTGTCTTCCTCTTAGCTTTAGGATATCCTTTGGTTTCATTTCTCCCTGATGATACTTAGCTGCTTAAATCCCCAGTGTAGATTTGGAGAGGTGATTGCATACATCTGATCTGGGTGCTCATGGTCTTGGGACTGAAACTGGCTGCTGATAGAAGACCAGGGAGAGAGATGTTAGGGGAAAAGGAAGATCCGAATTTGTTGATTGCAAAATCAAACTTCTAGAGAAGATACATTGAGTCCTGGCAGAACATTTTATATCATCAATCTAAGCACTCTTAATACTTACGGAGTGTTCCTGAAGAATGAGAGAAAGGGCAGCTTAATTTAATACTTATAAACCTGATCTTTAGCAAAAGCATTGAGCAACTGCTTTGTGTGTGAAATGGCTTTGAAACTGTCCAACTGTTGAATTTTAGTATGACTTGAAGGCCTAAATTGGATGCTGCATAAAGAATGTCAGTTAAAAGTTACCAATGGAAATTGAAAAAGCTTTCAGATATTTTGCTGGTTTGAGATAAGGTATAAGCATTGGATAACAAAAAAATTTAGGTGACAGCTTGAAGACAAGATGGTTGGCATCTTGTAAGTTCATGTCTGTGAGAAGCCTCGAGAATTTAAATTGTACACAGTTGTGAGCTTTCTATTGGTTTCTGTAATTCCAACCCATGGAGCTTGTTTCTCAGGGAAGCATGCAACAAGTGTAGCAGTTATAAAAAGCTTTTAAGATAATGAGTTTTTTTCCTTTCCCTCAATTATGTGAGGTTTCTATTGGTATCTGTAATTCCAATCCATGGAGCTTGTTTCTCGGGGAAGCATGCTTACCCGTGGCAGTTATAACCATGGAAGGTGTGCTTTAAATATAATGGCATGCCCTTAGGATCTATTTCTCACCTGTCAAACCCACAAAATCACCATGCATTTTGGACGTCGGTTATTGGATTTCATCTTCCTCGTCTGATAGCCCAATTAACACACTACCATTACAATATCTTGATTGATTTCATTGTTCTCATTCCACTCTGTGTCAAAAAAGGTAAATGTTAGTTTTCGGAAATAATATGCCCCTACTTTTTATTACCTTTGCTTGTCTCTTGATTGAGATTGAAATATATTTTGCTGCCTTGTTTTGATGACGATAGACAGTATGTTATTTCATGGTTCATAGTTGAAATTATATGTGAAACTATCCGAATTATATTTCAGCTCGTTGTGCATAACCATTACAATGTAGCTGGTATATATACACAAAGTTAACAAAATTCTTTCCTACAATTAAGCTACATAATTTTCTCCTACATTTAAGCATAAAATTAAACATAATTAAGTCTAGTCACATACAACTATATGACAACTATTTTACACTTGTTTTCCATACTCCCCCTTAAACTGGTTCGAAGATATATATTATTCCCGACTCGCCAAGAGATGAAAGAAACACAGGTGAGACAACCCTTTGGTAAAACACATACTTGTTTTTTCACTAGTGACAAATGAAATATAAATTTGACCACTATATACTTTCTCCTTGATAAATTATCTATCAATTTCAACATATTTAGTTGTGTCATGCTGAACATGATTGTGAGCAGTGCCGATAGAACCTTTATTATTAGCATAGAATTTTATTGTTTTGATCTTTGCAACTTATAGTTCTTTGAGCATTATCTTTAACTACATCAACTCACATAGTTCTCGTGTCGTTCTAAACTTGGCTTTTGCATTGGAACTAGCAACCATAGATTGTTTCTTAATTCTCCAAGTAATTAGATTTCCTCCAATAAATGTACAATAGCCATATGTTGACCTGCTGTTATCTATCAAGCCTGCGCAATTAGCATCCATATAAGCTTCTACATGAAGAAGATGATTCTTTAGGAGAAGTAAGCCCTTTTCAAGTGTTATTTTCAATATTGTAGGGTTTTTAAAACTCTCCATAAGGATCTCACAAGGAGAGTGCATAAATTGACTTGCACTTGCAACTAATGCAATATCAGGTCTAGTGTTAGACAAATATATTAGCTTACAAACAAATCTTTGATATTGCGCTTTGTCAACTACACAACTCTTGATAGTAGCTCCTGAGTCATGGTTTGGATCAGTTAGAATATCACTTGGTTTGTAACCCAACATACATGTTTCCTTGCGAATATCTGAGACTACATTCTTTGTGATAGCCTTGATAACCAAAAATATCTCAACTTTCCAAAGTACTTGTTCTCGAATTCCTTGGCAAGCATTTTTTAAGTTTTACTAACAATGATATCTTCAATGTAAACAATCAAAATAGTAATTTTTTTCACATTTAGAGTGCTTAAAGAACAAAGTATGATCACCTTGGCTTTGTGTATGTTCAAACCAACTAATTACCTTGGTAAACTTCTTAAACCAAGCCCAGGGTGATTACTTTAGTTCATTCTATGAACCTACGTACTTTCTTTTGCCCTAGAACATCCTTAAAGCCATGTGGTAACTCCAGGTATCCTTCCTCTTCTAAATACCTGCGCAAGAATGCATTCCTCACATCAAATTACTTAAGATGCCAGTTAAATTGCTACAAGAGATAATAGAACTTGAATTGAATTTATTTTTGCGACATGAGCAAAAGTTTCCTGATAGTGAAGCCCGTAAGCCTGTGTAATCCCCTTTGCAACAACTCTCCTTTTATATCTTTCAGCTATCCTATCTAGCTTGTGTTTCATTGTGATTACTCGTTTACATCCCACTGGCCTCTTTGCTAGTGAAAGATCAACAAATTCTCATGAACCGTTCTTTTTCAAAGCCCTCATTTTCTCATATATAGCTCTTTACTCTTTGGAACAGCAAAAGCTTCATGTATAGTACTTGGAAGGTTAACATGAGGACATATTAGCAGTAAAAGCTTTGAAAGAAGAAGACGACCTCTGATGGGAAACATAATTTGAAATAGATGAATAGTACAAGATGTAACACCTTTCCTGTGAGCAATTGGAACATTATCAGTCAAGACTCTGAAAGATTAGGAACTGAGGAATTACCTATGTTTTCATTCAGATGATTGTGACGTTGAGGAAGATGTGTATTTTTCATTCTCAAATAAACTTTTAGTTTTCGTTCTCTATATTGAACACACTCAAGTGGAGTTATGGGAACGGGAGGAGTTACGGGAACTAGAGAGAAGCATATAAATTGATTATTCTTCCTGAGAATCTAAGAAATGTCAGATATGGTTGTGGGTAGAACATAGGAAATATGAGAAGGGGACACAGGGATAGTAGGATGCAAGATCAAAATGAATCTTTCAAATGATTATTCTCTCTCTGCAGAGAAGTTTTGTTGAAAAGAAGTATTCTCAGAAAAGGTAACATCCATAGACACAAAAGTTTTTCCTTGTTGGAGGATAATAACACTTGTAACCTTTTTGAGTATGAGAATATCCTAAGAAAACACAATGAGGAGCCCCTGGATCCCGTTTTCTCCTATTATGGTCATGTATGTGGACAAATGCTACATGACAAAAAAGTATTGGTGAAATAGAAAATTAAGGGATGATAAGTATTTGCTTTTTAGAATGTTGAGTGGTATTTTAAATTTATGACCCTTGATGGTATCCTATTGATAATGTACGTAGCTTTGAGAACAACTTTCTCCTAAATATTTAGGAACTGCCATGGTAAAAATTAACACACTAGCCACTTCAGATGTCTGCTGTTCTTCTCAACTATTATATTTTGTTGAGGTGTATCTACACAAGAACTTTGGTGTATAATTCCATAATGAGTTAGATACGAACCTTGAATTGAGCTATTATCAGTCCAAAGAATTTGGGGATTAGCTTGGAATCAAGTCTTTATCATATGGTGGAAATTTGGAAAGTTTGTACTGCTGCTGATTTTTCTTTGAGCAACTAGGTCTAACTCACACGAAATGATCATTCATAAATGTAATTAACCACCTAGCCCCAAATATGTTTTGAACATTTGGAAGTCCCCAAATGTCACTATGTATCTAAGGGAAAAAGGATGTGACATTTTATATATTTGTGAAGGAAAATGAGCCTGATGATGTTTGGAAAGCTCATATATTTCCCATTGGAAGTTATGGGTATCCTTATCTTTTAATAAAGTAGGAAAAAAAATCTTTTCAAATAAGGAAAGTTGGGTATGCCCAAGTTGAATTTCTTGATTTGAAGTTGACTGAGAAGAACTAAAGTGGGTATGAGATAGAGTACGTGAACTAATAGGTCCAACTTTGAAGTAATGAAGTCCATCAATCTCCTTTCCAACACCTGTCACCTTTCCTGTGCACGAGTCCTGAAATTCAAAATAATTATTGAAAAACTTAGCATCACAAGACTTATAGTGATTAGACTTAATTAAAAGCAGATTATACAAAAATTTTAGGGCATGTGAAGCTGGGTCAAATGAGGTAGTATCTGAAAGAGAAATACACCATTTTCCGGCAATTGAGGATAAAGACTTGTGGACAATTTTAACTCTCTCTACCTGAAAGAGGAGCATAAGAAACATAAAAGGGAAAAAAGGGATGCACAATTGTTTTAGAAGACGATTGACAAATAAGATTACCAATGAACATTAAAACTTGAAATTGAGGATATAAGACTTATTGACCTTTAGTAATTGGGGAAAAAAGGGAAGCACAATTGTTTTAGAAGACGATTGACAAATAAGATTACCAATGAACATTAAAACTTGAAATTGAGGATATAAGACTTATTGACCTTTAGTAATTGGGGAAAAAAGGGAAGCACAATTGTTTTAGAAGACGATTGACAAATAAGATTATCGATGAACATTAAAACTTGAAATATGCTTGAAAAAATCAACAGATAGCCTAAATCGGCATAAAATAGCCAAAATTAAAGAATTAAAAAAATGAGAAACCAATATTGTAAAGGTATAAATTGGTAAAAAAAAAACTTAACCAGCTTTGAATACATCTGATCTGCATGTGCTGAACTTGCTTAAAATGTGTTGAAACAACCAGAACAACCAAGAAACATGCTAAAACGACCTAGAAATATGCTGAAATGCTCAAAATAGGGTGCCTAGAAATGGAGGAATTTTTTTTTTTTGAAAATCAATTAAGGCATCAACCTGGAAAAGATAAAGGATCAAGGGTAAAAAAGTTCAATCGGGGTCGAACCGATGTCATTGTAGCCAAAATTTTGCCCTGGTTTTATCCCTTATTATTTTCAAAATACATTTTTCACTCTCTTCTTTTCAACTACACATTTTTCAATAAAATAATATTACACGAAAATTCATAACTTTTCCTTATTTTTTAACCACGCATTTTTAATTAATCTACTATTCAAAAATGCATTCTTTACCAAATAATGGGGCTCAAACACAGGCTAAATAAACAAATGCAACCACAAACTAAAAATATTATAGTAACAAAAGATTTTTTAGTTTTAGTATTACTAATTCAAAGTAAACATAAATCCATGTGTTATTAGTTAGATTTATTATCTTATTTATTTCAAAACTTCAAAAACTAACAATCAATATGTCTAAATTTGTTCAAATTGGAATTATTTGTACCATAGACTTTGTTGGGGGCCATGATTTGCTAATGGAAAGAATTAAATAAATTGTAATCATTTAAATTAGCAATTGGATACATTTTTTTTTTTTTTTTTCTAAATCCCACACCACATGTAGGAGTATCTTTTAAAAGGAGTAGCACTTGGGAGAAAATTGAAATATTGGGCGTATAAATGCAATACATGAACATATTAAAACAATTGAAATTTTTGTAAAAAAGAACTTGATTGATCGGTAAAATCATAACAGTTTTCTGGTTCACGGTTAAATTGGTCGTTCCAATGGTTCATTGATCGTTTTCTCTATTTCTGGTTAATATATTATGACTGGATCAGATTAGAGGCCAGTTCTTGGTTTCCCCATTGTACTGGTCTGTCCAATCCGATTTTCATAACGTTGGGAAAAACAACTTTGTTTGCTATAGTAATGAAATTTCAACCAAAAACAGCTGGTAAGAAGACAAAAGTTCTAGCAATTTAGGCCGGAAAACAAATTAGGCTGAGCCCTGCTCTTATACCATGTGGAAACTTTTGAACTTTATTTCATCTCATTGTACATAACATTAAAAAGGAGTTGGGATATACACACACAAAGTTAATAAGATTTCCTCCAACAATTAAGCTACATATTCTCGCGTGCAATTAATTATAAATAATTCTATCCTACATTTATGCATACAATTAAATATACTTAACCCTACAATTAAACCTATTCAACATGACTATATGACAACTATTGTACACATGTTTTCCAGAATATGCTTTGGTTCTACGCACATGTTGATTCGAGCAGGACTTGAAATCTTTCTCCTTCCAAAATCAATTATGTCACATTTTTGAATTCGAGAAAAGCCTCTTCTAATATCTCTCAAATTGTAGACATTGAGGTGACTGAGTGAGATAAAGAAACAAAAGGCACATGCCCCTCGTTCGCCCTCTACTAATATAATATAAGGTAAGGCAAAAGTGAGGATGAAATTTGAAATATTAGATATTCTTTATCAAGATAATCATGGAGTTGGACGAAAAATTTCATTTGTGATTATGTATGGAAATCTCAAAATTTGATTCAATCTTGAATCTAGAAGTCCACCTTGTACAATTCCCAAGAGAAATGAATTATTGTCGAATTAGGTGTATTAGGGGCAGCTTATGGGAATTTTGTGGGTTTGTCTAGTGATCTGTTTACATAATTATCTGATTATAGTTTGGTATTATGGATGTAACAATCTTGAATTGAAAGGTCCACCTTGTACAATTCCCAAGAGAAATGAATTATTGTCCAACTTCGTGTATTAGGAGCAACTTATGGGATTTTTTGGGTTTGTCTAGTGATCAGTTTACATAATTATATGATTATAGTTTGGTATTATTGATCCATAGAGCATTACAAGTGCATTATAGTTCATTCCCTTGTCAAGGGGTTGCTAAAGTACTAAAGATGCATGCCTTAAGTGACCATTCCAGGAAAATCAAAATACTATCACAAGAAACACTTAGCTCTGCCTTCAGAAAATTAGTAAACATGCAAGACTATAGTTGGTACCAAATTAATGGAGAGTTTTAATCATACAGCTTTGTGTATATACTTACACAAAGTACATAAGCTTCAACTCTTTCGAATTTCTGTGTTTGATGTTGTGACCTCATCTATATTTTTGAATTGTGTGTGATATCAAATGTTAGACCTGCAATTTACTTAAATCTCATCTAATGTTGTTGTTGCAGGCTCAGCAGTTGGGTTCAAGTTAGACAGCCTTCTCAAACTGACCGACACGCGTGCTAAAAACAACAAAATGACACTCATGCATTATCTTTGCAAGGTACAAATTAGCACTTCTTTTTGTGGCTCCTTTCTACATTAAATGTTGCTTTGGTCCATCAGACTAACAGTCTAATCGTATTCCCATGTGAAAATAATCATGGCTTTCTTATCTGTTGTATAAAGGCATTGTGAATGAGTGAAGAGATTCTTTCAACCAACAAATGCTTTTCCTATTACTATCTAGACTGAGTTGTGTTTTATCTTATTATGTTTGATTTAAGTAAGCAATAAAGATGATATGCGCTGGCAACACATACTTCCAATTTATAAAAATTTTCTTGTTCCTTTTCTGATTATACGTGGGTTTGACACCAGAAAATATCGTAAATGCTGCTTTTCTTGCCCTCCTTTATGAGGAAAATGACGAATTAATTCAATCAAGGGACTCGCCAGGCTTTCCACTGAATAATTATCCTCACTCAATTTTATGTTTCCATGAATATTTGTCTCAGCTTTTGTTAGAGCTACATCAAGTAGTTATTCGTGCATGATTTAAGTCCATCTCAACAAGAAATAGCGAACTCTTCTGTTTAATTATTACCAGGTGCTTGCTGATAAACTGCCAGAGCTTCTTGATTTCTGGAAAGACCTTTCTGACTTGGAACCTGCATCAAAGGTACCTAATGGAATTTCCCATGATTATCTCAGATTATTTTTTCCAGAGTCTGAAGCAATAGTCAATTTAGTGATATAACTGGGTTATGTTGACTGGACCATGAAAATTCCGTCCAGATCCAATTGAGATTTTTGGCGGAAGAAATGCAAGCAGTTAGCAAAGGACTGGAAAAAATTGTGCAGGAATTGTCCATGTCTGAAAATGATGGTAGTGTGTCAGAAAATTTTCGTAAGGTAATTATGAAACAAATGAGATGAAAGTTTCAAAGATGTATGTGTCTGTATTTTAATTGATTTTCGATTAATATTTTATAGTTTCAACAGCAGTTGATTTTATTTTTTTATTTTTTAAATGAGCAAGAGAATTTATTGATTGTAGAGTAGTATGCTATTCGGAATCATTATGATTGTAGCTAGAAAACTAAATAAGTTGTTGGGGGCTCTGAAACTTTTGAGTTTCATATTCCTGTTGTGTCCATGTTTTTCAAATGAACAGCTGCATTTCTAGTGATTCCATATACTGAGTGAACTCTCTGTCTCAGGCCTTGAAGGAATTTCTTTGTTTTGCTGAAGGTGAAGTAAGGTCCTTGGCTTCACTTTATTCTGCAGTGGTATGTATCACCCATTAGCAAAACATTCATATTTGTAATTTTTTGACATTTAAGCACATTAACATTTCCTTGTCTGGTGTGTATCAAATCGACCTTATACAGGGTAGAAATGTGGATGCCTTGATTCTTTACTTTGGAGAAGACCCATCACGCTGCCAATTTGAACAAGGTACTTTTATCACTTGCAAAATAAGGAATTGGATGTTCGTAAGGCAGTTTCGAGGAATTTAATTTATCTAGCTTGAGAAGAATCTGACCTCTTTTTTCTCAGTTTATTCATTTTAGTGCAATATGTGGTTCTTAGTTCAATAAAAACCAAAACATTGCTTGTATCATGCTTATGCAATCCATTCTAGCATCACGCAGACAATCCATTCTAGCATCATGCAGGGGTACTTTTTTTATCCTAATCTGCAAATGTAAGACCTTTAATGTTACTTCTTATTTCTCTTTTGCTGCAGTGATTTCAACTCTGTTCAACTTTGTGAGAATGTTCAAGAAAGCCCATGAAGAAAATTGCAAGCAGCTGGAGTTAGAGAAAAAGAAAGCAGAGAAGGAAGCTGTAACTGAGAAGCTGAAGATAAATGCTTCAGAAAAGGAAATTGGACACTCGATACATTCTCAAGTCAAAAGTATCAAGTAACCAAATCTTCGATATGACAACAGTAGCCTATTTGGCATCAACTGAAGATAAAATTATTGTCACCAGCTTTCTCATACCCTTACTAGATATTATTGGGTATTAGAAAAATGTTCTTGTTGATGGTGAAAGTGGTAAAGGATACATATCTTGCTATGTTGGAAGTTTGGAGCAGGAGAAATGGGCGATGGAATATCTGGACAATGTTGGATACCTATCTAGAAAGGTACATCTTTGAAATTTGTCATTCTATTATAGTTTTTGTTTTAAATCAGAACTTATCTATGACAAGGAAGTTAGTTAATTCCAGTGTAATTGGTGTCAATTTTTCGGTAGAATCTGGGGACGCCAAGTTTGTTCGTGTCATTATCTTGTATATATTTTGTTAGCGAAAGAATGAAAATGTAAGATATTTTGACAGAAGGATGTGGTATTCCTTTTCCTTTAAAGATTCAGTACATTTTTTTTATCAACTTGGATTTGTTTCCAGCCATCACCTTGTACAATATACTTTTCAAGTTGTAGCTATATTGCTAAGTTATTACCATGCCAATCTAGTCTCTTGCTATCCCTCTAGCCATAGTTTCTTATTTAAAGGCTTCAACCAGCAAAATACTGGATTATTCATCCCTATCGTTATATGATTATGGCAGACTGTGCTGAGTGTTGGCATTAAAATTTTCCTCAAACATAGTTTTGCTTTTCGAGACAGTTAAGGATGAAAGGGTAATTATTTATTGAAATTTCATTGTCAAACAGGAAGATTTGTTTTTCAAGATATCAACACGTATGAGCAAATGCAGAAATAATCAGGCAGCATAAACTACATCAAGTTTCAGCAATATACATATATGTTTCCCAAAAATAGTGTTTTTTAAAGGCTATTTGTTGTTCATCCAATTTTTCGTACTTTTTTTTTTCGTAATTTAGGCATTCAACGTTGGAACTCATATTACTATTTTGTAAAGATTTTGCTACATGTACATCAACCTTTTCGCTTTATCATTTTCAAGTTTAAAATGAAGTCAACTTTTTCGTCTAATCTTTTTCCTCCACATCATTTTATGTAGTTACTTATATACCATTTTTATATACAAATAACATAATTCATTTCGTTACTGCAACCAATGGAAGGTGGTTTGTGCTAGTTTAGAGTTAAACGGCAAAAAAATTGCTACAGAAAATAATTTTGAGTAAGATTTTTCTTGAGAATGGTAGATGATAAAATGATATTTCCAGTGTTATGTTATGAGAAAAGAAAAAAAAAATTGATGTCACTGTGAAAGGTTTAGTTGGTCCAAGCTGAATTTTGATATTCATATAAGAAGAAAAAAATAAAGAGGGGCTTCTTGAATACGTAATATACGTGAGTATACAATTACAAAAGGGGAGAAATCACAAATAATCAAGTAAATAAAAATAATTCATGAAACACTATATAAAAATCTATATATACAGATTCTAGGCAATGTAGAAAATTAAATCCAATTTACTATTGCCAATTATAAAGTTATATATATACATTATAGAAAAATCATTAAATCAAAATCACTTTTTTTTATTCTTTATTCTTTTTTTCTTTTTTTTTTCAACTGAGGCGCACACTGGCCCATTGTCAAGAACACGCCATCCATCAATTATAATTCTTTAACTTTTGCTCAATTGAAAATCCATTGGAAGTCTGCGACTTTACTCGCAATGAAAGCGTTAGCAACCCCTCCCACTGAATGAGGCACGAAAATGTAAGATTGAATTTGGGTTCAAATCTGAATGTCTTTCAGCTGTTGAACAGCTTTTTGTAATGAATTTTGTGATAGCTCATAGCCATAATTTTCGACCATATCTTCTCATTCCTATAGAAAGTATATTGTTCGGATATGTTCCCATATGGTATATTTTGTAGTGATAAAATTATATTTTATAATAGATAAATTCTGTTATATAATTTATTTTATTTTATTTATTTAATATTTAATACTCGAATTAAAATACTTTTGATCACTTACGGTAACATAAGTTGGGTGCTTGCATTTTGAAGCATAGTGTGACACAACATACATTTTGATCATAAATAATTTGTTCATGATTGAAGTATAAGGGTTGTTGCCTTATACTGAAAGGTTATAATGTTGACCGATTCACTTTTTAAGTTTGTGAGTTGTCCTTATGGCGAAAATAATTAAATATGACATTTGTAAAATTAGAGTGTATTGAACGAATCATGTGTCGAGTTTAATTCTATAACATGATGGTATAGAGAATTAAATTTCACTCAATAGTCGAGTATGTCATCTAAATTCTTCAACAAGGTTGTATATGTCCTTTTTTATGAGTTCAATGGTTTTTTAATTCACCAAGGGTGAGATCAATTTAATTGGTCTAATGTTTCGACAAGTTTGGTGTTTGAGAATGAGTTGAACGAAGAACATGATGTGTGTTGAAAATAGTTGACCTAAAAATGGTAGGGTGACTACTTAAAATATTTTATATTGAACGATTATAAATATGAACTCTACGTTTAATGATGATTAAACTTTGTCATCTATGATTGGTTCACAAGATAATTGAAGAAAATAGTACTTAAGTTAGAGATAATAATTAGAGAGGGCAAATGGTAATTTGTATCCCTACATGATTAAATGGATCTCAAATGAGGATAAAATATAGATACAATATGTCAGATAAAAGTATTACAAATATATATATATATATATATATATATATATATATATATTAGTTTCTATGTTCTTATAAATTTCGAATGTGCAATATTTTGCCTTCAATGGAAAAGATAAAGACTAGTAAGTAGGTTGGATGATTCATGATCAACAAATTATGATTTAATTATTGCAGCTTGTATAATATATATCCAATCAGATCCTTGTGGTAGCACTATAAAATATAGACTTAATTGCAATTACTACAAAAGTTTTGGACTTGATTGTTATTTTTATAAAAGTTGTTAGACTTAATTTTATTTGTCATTTAAGTTCTAGGACTATACTTGTAGTTAACTAAGTTACAGACTAACCGTACTTGAATTTTAATTGGAACTCCCATTTAAATTTCAATTGGGAAACCTATTTGGATTTCTTAAACTCTTTTATATTGACAAATAGAAATTAGATGGAACCAAAATCTAAAATATTAGTTTTTTCATAGCATCCGAATTTAGAAAGAGAAAAAGAGGAAAAAATGTTTTCTTCTTTTCTTCATTTGTCAATTCCGAAATTAGTTCATTAATTTAATTAAAAGAGGGTGTTCACACACTATTGTAATTTTGTTCGAAGAATATTATAAAAGATTTAAAGGCTTAATGCACCAAGTTCTTGAAAGTTAAAGCTAAGAGCTCGTGATCCAAAAACTGAAATCCAGGATTCAAATAATATAAAAACATGATTAGGGAATGTGGTAAATTCTTAATCCTTATTTTTTTTATTATAACGCACATGTGGACATCTAGTAACGATCTTGAATTCTTTAATTAAAAATAAAATTGTTTTCCTAGTTATTATTTATTCCTCATTCCAAAAAGGACCGTGCTACACGTACATAATGGTTTACCTAACCGTTTACACCCTACTCACATCATCAAAGTAGGGACCACGGCTCAACATTATTAAATACATGCGGGGCCCGCGTTTTTGTGAGAGGGGGTAAACGCTTCGGTAAACCCCCCTCGGTACAAAGAGAATAATCCTTCCAAAAACTGGTGTTAGAGAAATCTAAATCGTTCAAGTATTTGTTATTTCTGAATTTTGATTGCATGTTCTAGTCAATTGATGTCTATAAATATTTTATTTTATACTGATGGAATGATTGAAATTATTTTTAATTGTGACTCAATTATTGAGTTACGTTCTTCATTATAATTCGTTATTTGGAGTTTGTAACAAAATATGTGGATTACAACTATATCATTTTGATTTAATCAACTTTTCAGTTTCAAGATCCAATGTAAGTTTTTCCAATTTTTTAATTCTTTTAATTTTAGGAATTCTTTTAAATTGATTGAAGATGGAAAGACCAATCGATGAAGAATTCAAGAGTCGGGAAAAATAATCTCGTTTCGTGCATCTCATAAAGTGTCTATGCACCTGCAAGCAGAATCCACAAGTGGCGCTTAGCTTTTTCATATTTTATGCAAAGAGCTTTCTGTGCACACTCAGACAAGGTCTACGTGGGTTGCACATACCTGTATCAGGATCTGATTTGGCTCACAAAAGGAGGACTTGGAACATCTAAGGTTGGACATGAACCAGATCTTGATAGGTAGGTTTGGAATTTTATTTATAGTGGAGTCTGATTGCCGTTCGCTTAAAAGTTTCATACGAAAGACCTGGATAAAACTAGTTATGTTCTAGCATATAGATCTTGAGAGATCGAAAGAACAAGTCGATAACTCTATTCTAAGCTTCATATATTGACAAGATTTACTTGTTAAACTTATCTTGCAAAATTCCAATAAGGAAAAATTGCCTTCCAGATATGAAATCCAGCTTTCTAAGGAGCAATTTCCTAAAACTCTTGAAGAGATGAAACACAGAAGTAAGATACCTTATGCTTAGGCATTTGGTAGTCTCATGTATGCTATGTTGTACACTAAATTTGACATTAATTATAATGTTGATTGGTGAGTCGATATCAATTTAACCATGGGCTGAAACATTGTAAGGCTGTAAAGCATATCCTTAAGTAGCTCCGGAGAAGGAGTCATATGCTGTTTGACCCACATTTTTTCAAAAAAAAAATATTCTTAAACAATGATTTGACATCATTTCATCTACACATTCGCCAATAAAATAATATTATATGCAAATTCAAAATTTTTTCTTATTTTTTAATCACACATTTTCCATCAATACACTATTCAAAAATACATTCTTATAAAAATAATGTAGCTCAAACAGGGGCTAAATAAGTTGTATGAAAAGAAAATCCTAAAGGAGATTAAGGTGGTCATGACTCTACACAGTCTTTGAAACTATATCATGATAACGGTGAGAAAGTAAAAAATGCTAAATAACAAGAAATCATCGAAGGATAAACACATTGGATGAAAATATCATCTCTTAAGAGAGATTGTCAGTAGACAAAATGTGGTTCAATTTGATTGCTATTTGAACTAACCTAACAACTATGATTACTAAGAGCTTATCAAGTAAAGTTTTCGAACGAATTTGCAAGATTTGATATTGCAAGACATAGCACATATACTCTACAGCAAGTTAGAGATTTGTAATATTGTATACCTATATAGTATATCTGTGATAAAAATAATATTGTGCAATAAATAATTTAAATACTTATTCATTTAATGTATTTATTTAATATTGAGCGTGCAAATTAAAATACATATGATCAATAATATAAGTTGGACGCTTTCATTGAGAAGCACAGTATGACACAATTTATAATTTGATCATAAGTAATTTTATTTATGATCAATATATAAAGATTTTCACATTGTATTGGAATATTGTAATATTGACT